AGGAAGGAAGGAAGGAAGGAAGGAAGGAAGGAAGGAAGGAAGGAAGGAAGGAAGGAAGGAAGGAAGGTCCACATCCCTGCTTCAGGATAGTGGTAGCCATGACCACGTAAGGGTTATTTTTCCCTGAACTCCTATTCTAGAAATGATTCTGTTACCCCACAGATCTTTTTAGATTTTGCCAGGATTTTCAAATATTGCCTTGTTCCAATGACAATAAAATCATCATTTGGGGGGGAGGGGGACAGAAAGATTGCAAATATCGAGAGCATTTTTTTTTAAAGTCCTTAAAAAATAAAAGCTCACCAGTTGCCATCTATTGTAAATCCAGGCTAAACAGTTAAATTGGCTACTCTCATTAACAGCAATTGTTTACCCAAGCATTTTTAATCCTTATAATCCTAACACTTATTTAAGGGACTGGCATTCTGTTTCTTTAATCTTGGATGCCACTGACAAATACCAGCTGTTCAGCTTATTATATCCTAATATTCAATGTAATATCCAAATGCCTATTTTTCTTCCAAATTACAGGAGATTAAAAATAGGTTAACAAAAACACAAAGAATATATGCCTGTGATAGGGATATTCATTCCCTACACGGGACGATGAATGTGTCCTACATCCCAATATCACACAACAAATGACTCAAACTCTTAAAGTTTGAGATATCAAATATAATTGTTATTCCTTTTTTTTCAACAACAGTAATGGGGGAGGAAGCAAGCTTTAATACACACATACGTGTTTTGTTTTGTTTTTTTAAAAAAAGATGGTCCAGCATGCAGTTAATGGTCTGGAGCCACCTAAGACTTACAAGTTAATAGAATTGATCTCGCTGTAGCCTTGTAATGAAGAACAGTGGGATAAGGCTATATGTGAACCGTGGAAAATTGTATATTGTTACCTTCTTGTGACCTCCCAGAGCTGTGGCCATTCTAACTTCTCCAAGCTGTCATTTGTGTGATGCCGACAGCAGATGGGAGAGGAGAAGAAAGGAAGGAAAGGATAATGTTGTCTTGATCAGATAGATCTGCTCAAACTATGAATATTGAAAGGACGAGATGCGATGGATGGAAACTAATCAAAGAGAGAAGCAACTTAGAGCGAAGGATAAATTTCCTAACAGTTAGAGCAAGTAATCAGTGGAGCAGCTTGTCTCCAGAAGTTGTAAATGCTCCAACACTGGAGGTTTTTAAGAAGAGATTGGACAAGCATTTATCCGAAGCAGTATAGGACTTCCTGCCTGAGAAGAGTGTTGGACTAGAAGACCTCCAAGGTCCCTTCCAATTCTGTTATTCTAAATAGTTAAGGCTCTTGCTGTTCAGTCACTAAGTTGTATTCAACTCTTTGCAACTCAATGGACCATGCCACCATCCCTGTCCTCCCCTGTCTCCCAGAGTTTGACCAAACCCATGTTCACCATGTAGGTGACACTATTAACCATCACACCATCCTCTGCCATCTCCTTCTTCCCTTTGCCTTTAATCTTTCCCAACATCGGAGACTTTTCCAAGGAGTCCTCACTTCTCCTTTGGTGGCCAAAGTATTTGAGTTTCAGCTTCAGTATCTGCCCTTTCAAAGAACCATCAGGTGGGTTTCTTTCAGGAACTTAGGGCTCTACTAATAACATTAGAAGAGCAGGCATGATAGTTGAGATTCCAAGAATCAATAGAAAGAAACTATAAAGTGATGGTGAAATACACATGAATGGAGAAGGACCTAGGTTCCGTTCTTTATTTGAGGTTCCTTATTGGGCTAAGATTTCAAGGTGGACATCTAATACTACTTTCTTCCATTGTTCTCTATTAACAACATTCACAAGCAGGTGGGGTGAAAGACTGTGATTAATTCAAAGTAATCTAGTGAGTTTCCAGGGCAAAGCATGGACCTCAACTTGGATCTTCTCAATCAAGGTTCTACACTGAAATCATATTGGGATTAACAACTTCTCTGTGGCTCCTGGAAATTTAAGAGAAATCCAAGGACTTCAAACATGTTCCAGACAGTAACTATGTACTTCTTTCTTTACTTTATTTTGCTATCTTTACCACTGCTCCTACTTAGGGCCATCAGAGACCTCATTTTTCAGGCACACTCTTGTTGTTTCCATTGCAAGCTAAGGAATCTTCCATACAATTTCTCAAGATTGCATCAGAGGAAAATCAAGAATTACTGAAGTACCACAAAAGAGTACACAACTTTCTCAAACAATCAGGGTTGTTTTTCCACTTCAACTCATGTAGACTTCAACTTCTGGAATTCTCAATTGTATTGATAGATCTGGAAGAAGGATAATCAGTGAACTGATTTTTTTTTCACCTTTCTGCTCCATGCCTGGAGAACACACACTGGGGGTCAACTGAAAACAAAACTGCATTGAAACCAAACAGTTTTAATATGTCTCCAGAACAGCAACAAGAATGGGACTAAATAAACTTTTGGAGTTAGTGGCAAAAGGAAACCAGGCTACCAAAGAATATGATGACTGGACACCATCAAAGTTGACATCAAACAGAGCCTAGAGCAACTCAAAGAAGTAGCGCAAGATCTGAACATGTGGAGAGGCATGGGATATAGAATTGCCAAAGGTTGAACACAATTGAATCAATATCATCATCCTTATCCTTCCGAGAAAGAGTATTTACCGTGGTGAGATATTTATCATCAGATGCGGTGCTGGCTGTCAGCTTGGTTGGCTTCAAAACAGATTGTACAAATCCATGGGAGTCATTAGGATCAATGGCCAACCTTGATAGCAAGTGTGATTCTCTCTGAAGACATCTGCTGGAGATATCTG